TGTTGTTGTTCTATGACACTAAGCTACATAACAACCTTTTATGGTCAAAAACCTCCTTGGGGGATGAATTACCTCCTTTTTTGATATCGTTGTGATTCTATTCGGGGTTTCTTTGCACTATGACCAAATTGCACTATGAGCAATAACCTGGCATTTTGAAGAGGTTTCTGATGCGTATACATATGTGTGAAATTGCCTGCGTTGCGATTATAATATCGTCTCGTTGATCCTGAAACCAAATAAAAACTTTTTTCTTATATTTGTTTAAATCTAAGAAAAGTGTGGGAGAGCCATGTTTCGGCACGAATGGGCCGGCTCGACCGGAATGATACTACGGCCTCACAGAATACCGACGTGAAGCAACGCTTGCGTTGTGTTTCGTCGTGTAAGTGAGGTTACCGGAGGCCCAATTACCCTCCCCTTCCCCAATCTCCCCAATCCCTGAATCCCCAACGATCCTCAAACTCCTAATCCCCAAATGGCCGGTAAGGCACTTGTAACGCCTCTGGTGTTCCAGCTGTCCATAGGCGACGCCGATTGCTTTCCATCAGGTGATCCGTCTGCTCTTTTACCGGCTTATGACATAAAAAAATCTTTTTTATATAGTCGTTTTATAAAATATTACAAGAAAAAAACTAAATTAAGTTAGTTTAGCACAAAATTGTATTAGTCCGTATTGTTATGTTACGATCAGCAAAAAATTCTATTTGTTTGTCTCTGATCATTAAAAACCATCCGTCCTTACAAAAACGAACTCAAATATTTTGACACATAACCCTTTCATCGCTACCTGTTATTAATCATTATACCCCAAGTTACATTTAATTCAAAATACCCCAACAATATTATTAAAAAAACCTCATCTCTATTTAACCTATAAAAGAAACATTTAAACAAATTTATGAAACTGATCTGAATGGTCATTTACAAATAAATGGTTTTATCCCATATTCACCTTTGACCTATGACCTATGAACTGGTCTTGATCAATGTGACACAGCATCCCCTTATGACACGGGATGTAAATGACCATACAGTTAAAGTGAGATCATCACCTTTATACAGATTAAACCGGTTTAGATTCATCTCATGAATACACAGTAGGTGATGTTGGGTTAATTTGTCTGTAAGTAGGCGCATGAAGGGTTGTGTTATTCAATAAATACGGTCACTGTATATTTTTAAGTACTTTTATGTGGTTGTTAGTTGTTTTTTTATGCTTTTTGTTATATTGTTAAGATATTAAGGATATATGATGTCGTTTTTGTCACTTATACATATCATTATTGCTACATTTTTGTCAGATCACCTGGCGGACACCGTGCCTGTAACTCAGAATTTTGCAGCCACTCACTCTGGCCTTCTGTAGTGCATTCGTTTCACGAACAAGAATCGTGCTAAGTAATTGTGGCTATTATATTAATCTCTGTAAAAAAACATTTTTTTTAAGAGTGACGTAGGAATTTTTTTCTTGTACTTCTCCATTCGAAACTACACTTTGCAACGAGCGCCTAGCTTCACTGACAGACAGATGGACAAACAATTCAATAAAAATTTTTGACATTTCAAAAGTGCGTTATTAAGGATAAATTGAAATAAATACTTTAACTTTGACTTCGAATCAATGAGAGCACGAAAATGTTATCAAAATTCTTATCATAACAACATAATAATCAACAATCCCTTCAAAAACGACAAACACATATCAACCTATAAATCACAGTTATCTACTGAATCACAACAATATCCGTATAAATTAATCTGCCGTATCTCAAAGACAGTTTGGTAAGTAAAGCCGGGAGCCATACTGTTCTAGCCAAAACAAACTTGCGTACATTCGTTACAAATATTACTCAAGTCCCATTTAACTGGGTAGTTTTGGCTCGGACGTGACTCTCCCGTAACCGTTAATAGTACGGCAGAATTTGACTTCAGGATTTTAAGGAACTTTGGTGATTAGGAAATGCCATTAATCGTCTTATTTTAAAATAGGTTTTGGTGCTTCAATGGCTATGTATATCCATCGAAGTCAAATGAGTAATTTAGCAGTGTTTAATAGGTTCAGAGTGCTTAATTTTGAAACCAATCTCAATGTCAATGCACTTTCAATCCAATAAAATCTCAATAATTATCCAATGTCAAAACTATACAACCCCTATCGTAGCTGCTAAAGTACTATTTAGAGTACGGAATATAAAATCAAACTTAATACCATTTAGTTCATGTAATATCCATGCAATACGGATGCAAAAGGTGCTAGTCTTACAACTCAAGAGTACGAAATTTTACAATATCAATGTCGATCGATCGAAATTGTATTCAAGAGTAAGCACCTTGGTCTTATTCCAAAATCTGGATCATTATTAGAATAGTTATTCCTTCCTATACATTTTAAAATGAAATAATCCAATATTATGATGTTCTATGAAAAATTTGTCATTAGTCCCGTGTAGGTAAATACAAATGAAGCTATAGAGATGGGCGTTAATTGCGCCAACGATTTATATATAGTTTTGCACATTTACTTAAACACTTCACTTTTGATCATGAATATTGGAGCAGTTCTTTAATTTAAAAACATATTCGATAAGTACTTTGATACTATAAATAAAATTAACACGTTTAATGCTCTGTTTAAAAAAATATTAACGTAATATAAAAGCTTAACCACAACAACTCACTTGAACACAGAAATACTATTAAAAATACATAAAGACATTTTTACTAAGCACTACCCAATTAATCATTTCAGTAGACATTCACCCACCAATGAGCATGTATGCATTGTCCAGTCCAGACGGAGCACGCACACATAACCAAATGGACCCCAACCACAATGGTGGGACAGAGCATGAATACGCTCTAACCCTTCAGGTCCATGCGGCAATTATTCAAAGAGAATAGTTTAACAGAAAGGATTGTAAGGACTCCGTACCCCAACCCTAAAAGACCATAACACTCCAGCTCTAACAAATAAAACCCAACTTTCGTTCAACGATACAAAGTCCGATTTTGTTTACAATTCTTTTGGTTGTTGTAGAATTGTTTTAGGGGAGTCGAAATTTCAGTATATTTAGAATATTTATACATTTGTCCGTGGCGGGTGTACGGACGGCAACGCGGATGAGACCTCGGCGAGTACATAATAGGTACTGTGATTTACTACGGCGCTGCTGGTGATTTTAATGTAATTAGTCTGGCCGAATGTTACCGCCATTCTGTTTGTTCCCCGACAATGCGGAAACGTAATGCTCTTTGAGAGAAATTCACAAATTTCCCGACTGAGCTAAATTATTTATTTGTAGGAAATAAATAAAGGTCTGCCACTGACTTCTGGCAATCCTTCATTTAGTAATTCGGTTCGAGTTGCGTAGCGAGCTATCTAATTAACTAATTTGATATTTTTGTTTACTTCTTAAAGTAAAATTAAAGTAATTAAACTAGAAATGAGATTAATTCATAATTTAATTTATAAAAAAAACTATAATCTTTCCTTAAGAATTAGTCAACATTTCCCTGATGGTTACTTTAAATTATTAACACTCTTTATAGGCCAAAAATTGACTGTTACAAAATGTCGATATTGATTCGCCAAGCATCTTAAAAAATCTTAAAATAATTATGTAGAATCTCAACAAAACCATCTAGAAGACACTGAGCTCGTAAATACGTAAATTAAATACAATAATTTAACGAAAATTATGACAAAATGAGTATGAATCGTGTATATTTAATAATGGTCCCATAAAAAACTATTCGCACAAAACTAAAGTTTGCATATAAGTTATTTCGTTTCCACATTCTAGAACAATAACTACCGTATGTAATTACAAAACACAATTATTCATTTGAGTGTTAATGCCTCTTAAAACGAGTCGCATAAAATATCAAGTGTACGTACACATTCTGCGCATATCTGTTACGCGAAGTAAGGAGATGGAGTTTTCATTAAAAAAAGTTCTCAAACCTAAAATAAAAATACTGCAATGCCTATGAAAATGACAATGTTGTCAAATAGACTTCGAGCATATTCTTCCAACGGCAAATACATTTTAACAGAGGAATATCTTTAAATATTTTACAATTCTTCCATACTACTAACTGTCAAATGTAATTTTTATTATACAGTTAAATTTAACAGCTGATTGTTGAAAATGATTGGTTAGATAATCAATTTAAACTCAAAACCCAACAAAAAACCTAACTGCTGTTTAAAAAATTAACTATAGTCGTTTTGATTGATCTGCCGAATGCGACAATCCTAGCTTGAAGTCTCGTATTAAATTAGATATCAGGTGATGTTTTATTAAAACTTCTCAATTCATGCTATGATGTTGTGTAATATTTATAAAAAAATATGATCTATCCGTATACTTTCTTTTGTTCTAACAAACATTTTGGCTACACTAGACCAAAAACAACAATTTGTAAACACAAACAGTTGCTCCGTTCGGTAATCGAACCCAGTACATGTAGCGCGGCAGCCGGTTGCCCAGCCACCGCGTCTACCGTGCAGTCAAAAAACAAATACCGAGCCGTAGTCGAGTACCGTCATTATAGACACAATTATAGAACAATAGGTTGCGGTCACCGGTGACCGCTTGGTGTTTGACAGTTTAAATTATCACAGGATAAGACTAAATTACAGATACTAAACAAACAATTCTACCAACAATACGAATATACCAAAAAAGAAATAAACAATTTATTCAACTAAAAGAATCGAACTCCACAGCAACTTAACCCAAGCTCGGCGTAGACTGAAATTGTGAAAACGGCAATGACCATGCGGAATAGTGATCATCAAAATTCCATGAACGCCGTACTATTAGCAGTCGGGGGGTTGAAACTAAACCCCTACTCAACCCCTAAGAGCCTTATTGGTCAGTTCTGGCACACTGGTATTTAAGTAACCAATTTTTTGGAGTTCTTCGATTTTTATATGTACCGTTTTAATAATAACTATGATTCAATTGTGATTTAATTTTTTTTTACCTCTAAACTAAGAGAGTTAGTTGCTGCTGAGTTAGTTAGTTATCTATCTTGGATTTGAATCCTATCGGGCTAGTTTTAGTCAATAAGAGTTCAGACTTTTATGTTCTTCAGTTCCTTTGAGAAATCAAAGTCAAGTTCAGTCCTTGGAATCAAAAAAAAAAGATTTAAACAAATTATATTACCATTTCTTATCGATTTTTTTTACATTTTAACAGTAATAATGAACTTGTTCCCTTTAAAATATGACGTCGCTACCAATACAAGAGTACTTACAACACTTCTTATTGTACCAGTTTTTTATCTTACACGCCGAAAACTTATAAGAATTAAAATCTAATAAGAAATATTGTGTTCATTATAAGCAGGATACAATTAACCTATTACTTTTTCAATTTCGATATATGTTACACAGCATTGTTTTTAAATATTAAGATTATGAAGTTATATTTTTTATTAGATACAAACCTTCTATATATAACCATAGACCATAAAGGCTATAACGATAGATTCTCATTTTTCTCTACTTTGTTCTTATTTTTAGTATCGTTCAAACCTTTCCAGTCTCTTCGTTTTGTCTTCTTCTTGTCCATCTTCTTACTAAGAATTCTTCAACCCATTTTATTAAGATCTGGAACAAAGCAAAAATCTATTAACAAAGTGTATTCAATTTATTTGAGTCACTGGCTTGCTGTATTGAAAAAATGATGTAAGTACCTAATTACACATATTTTTACTGTTGTATCTCGAATAAAATAACATGATTTAGATAACATTTTGTGTCTTTCTATTAATGCCTTGTACCTATACAAACAGTAAAGTTAAAATAAGAAAAAAAAATTTGTAAATTCTTTTTATATTTTTTTTTTTGTTAATAACAAGAGAATCGTAAGTAAAAAAACATCGCAATTATACCTACAAAACAAAAAGATCCTCTAAAACATCACCAGCGCCACCTATGTTAACCGAACAAGATTCCTAAAAACAAAAAGCGTTCGTGTGCCGCAGGAGCTGGAACAAAAACAATTGTTTCATCTACATACCATGTCATGTGGAGCTAGAAATTATGACTCCAAGAATGACCAGGCGGAATGTGGAAGGTCGATATTCCTGGAATGGAAGGGGAGGGGGTGCCGACACCAGCCGAGGTATGTGAACGAATTAGGGGTGCAATCGTAGTCTGGCATCCAAATTTTCCGTACGTACTCCTAGTAGTTTCATTTTATTGTTTTTAGTTAGAATAACGGGTTGAAAAGATTTTTGTCCATTTCGTGTTTAATGTTTAATTTTATGAATTGTTTAAAATGGGTGTTATAATAGTATTTCAGTTTCTATAAGAAAACAATGATCTCGTTATCTAAATATGTTATTAAAAAGTATCTTTAGTATTAATAGTATTATTAAACATTCAAACATGTATCTACTTCGCACCGGAGGGTACAGTTAATATGAGTTTTGTATCTGTACAGTGATATAAAATTATGTATGTAGGTACATGTTGTAAACCAAAGTATGAACAAAAAGAGAATATTTTAAGAATAAATAAATTCGGAAGCACTATCGGACACACACACACACACGGCTCAAGATTGGAATAGTAATTACTCAATGATTAATCCTACGCTAACAACCATCAGAATTGTTTGTTCAGTAACTTATATATTTGCTCAAAATTTGACCTTTATACACTACCTACTTGCGTCAATATTGGAATACAACTATAGTTTTAACACTTTCCTACAAAATATCAAAGTTCACATAGAAATAGAAATGTGATAAAATAGGTATCAATAATAAGTTGTAAGAAACAAAAAATAATACAAAGTCTTTCATTTCTTTTAAGTATCGTAAGACATACTAGATTAACTAAAAATTGCCGGTTATTCACGTGAATATAATGAGACGCTACTACTTTCTGACCGCTGTTCATGAGGAAGCCCCTATAGCCCGAAACTAGTTGAGCTTTTCTCAGTATATTCACTCGAGTAACCCGCGATTTTTAGTTAATGTTTTATTATATCACACGTCTTATTCATATACGTTATCCTTTGTAATTACCACATTATATTGACCTTTAAAATCTACTTTTGATTAATTATGATTTTCCATTATAAGCGAACGTATTATTAAATACCAAGCTGTTAAAATCCACATTTCTATATCCTTCAAGTTGTCTCTGGCAAGAAAAGAAATACGAAATTTTTATATCGATTTTCTAGTTCAAGAATAGAACCCAATTCAGCAGTCATCTTCGCGACTATTATTTTGACTGGGCAAGACTCCCTTACTAAAACAAATCCAATCGACTCTTCTCGTGACCAGAGGGCTGATTATTTCTTCGGGCACAAAATAAGCATTGTCATTCACCGTGGCAATGCTGCCAGTCTTCTGGACACGTTGCCCAGGGACCACTGTCACTGATGCTGATGAATTATTTGACGGAATTCCGTTTTTCTTTTAAACATTTTTATTTGCTGTTTTAGTTTTATTTAATTTTAAGTTGTATATATTTATTCATAATTATATTATTTAAGTATATTATTCGTAATCACATAGTCAAAACCAATATTTTTCAATCCAACATAAAGGTACGCCCACACTCCTCACATACGAACAAACGCACAATGCGTAGTTACGTATTAATCATGCGATACGCAGCCGGAACGGTCGCTCGTTAATCATTGAGCGGCCGGAACACCGCCCTACCCGCAATCTGAAGGGAGAGGCTTTTTGTTAATTAATCCGCACTTATGTGACGCTTTTATATATCGTCCGTGATTGTGCAATGTGTATATAGTAGTTTTGTTATATAGGTATCGGTTTTTGGATATATTGTTGCAAACTAAGATACAGAGATTCTGAAAACATTTTAAAAGATCTCTTTTACGTAGTTCTCGGTTTATATGTCTGCGGTTTGGGCATTATATTTTAATTAGATTAAAATATTATTACAGTATCTGGAAACACAGGGATGCCTTTTACTTATTTTTGATACAATATAAAATATATTGGCGTTTCAACTTAACTACGAATGATTTTTAAATTGAAATGAAATAAACAAAAACGATTAAGTACCTATAAGTCGGTTAATACAGTTACGGTCATTATAGGGTAAATGCCTAAGTTTTATTTTAATGTTCGTCTGGTAGATTATTTTAAATCATTAGACACATATTTTTTATTTTCTTACAGAAACAAATACTTTCGATGATATATCGATTTGAAATGTCGCGTGACATCACTTCTATGTACCTACATTTTATAATGACGTTTTAGCTCCAACTCCTAAACTTTGATTCGTTTTATCTAAGTTTTGTTTTATTATACGACAAAATAAAAAAAATACGTGTCTAATATTTTTTCATTGCCTAACTTATGGACTAATTAGATTTTTAATTTTCATACCCTGTCATCATCCCAATTATTGTAATGACACTTTTGCAATACCTTTTTCCTACATCAGTTAGGTATTATTAAGTAATACATATTACCAAAATAATAATAATTACCAACATATACTAAGTAAAACAAATGATCGAGTAAAAAAATCACACCAGCAAAATTAATTAAAACAACACCTTCATAAGAAGCCGACCACCGCGTAGGGTTGCCTCCATCAGTCAAGTTTTCTTCAACGGGTATAAAATTATGTTCGCATAACACCTCCATCATGCGCACACCCTACATTAATCATGTCGAGACAGGACTATTTATAGTATTAGTACGTAGTGTGGGTGTACCTTTATGCAGCTTCGAGCAAATTATTTTATTCATTCTATTAAACTCATGTGAAGAGATTCTGTAATAAGTATTAATCATGTAACAAATAATTGAACTTTTTTGGGTTTAAAATATAACCCAATTGATACTAACTTTTTTGATACTTTGAAAATTTATGTGTACTGAGCTCAAATAGTAATTTTGTACAGTACAACAAATTGTAAGTAAATTCTGCAATGCCTATTAAACCATAAGTTTTAGAGGTAGGTTAGACCATGTTAGTACATAACATCACGCCTTTTATCCCTGAAGGAGTAGGCAAAGGTGCACATTATGCCACTGTACAATGTATGTAACACCCACTTTTCACTATTTATGTTATGAGTCCCATTTAATAGGGGGTGAGCCTATTGCCATATACCAGGCACAATTCCAGATTCCGTGCTACTACTGAGAATTAAAAACTCAGTAATACTTTGCCCGGCCCGGGAATTGAAACCGAGACCCCTTATTCGGCAGTCCGACCACTCGACCAATGAGGCAGTCCGTGTCACCAAGTTAGTCAGTTGTCATAAAACAACTAGACCAGAAACGTTAAACAGAAAGAGAAAAATATCAAACATTGATGTTGGGTTAAAATTACGAAAGAAATCATTAACAAAATTATACCGCGAAAACTACGTACAATCGTAGAACACACATAGGAATGATTTGATTACTGCTTATCATAAAGCATCTAAATTGCTTGAACGTCAAGTGCCCGGCCATCCTGTATACTATAGAAGGCAGATTTATTCATGGTTTCATTTTGTCACTATGTGGGTAAGTACTATGGTTGCAATTAATTTAGAGATAAAACAAAAACTTAAACAGTTGCTAATAAACTAAATAATTCTACTAAGTCATAGTTATCGTTAAATTTTTGGGAGAAAGGATTTTGTACTATGAATTAGTCAATTAAAAATTAGTTGAACTTCTCAAGCTAATTGTGATATGCTAGAAGAAGACATTTGGTGTTTTAATTTTCTCACTAGGTACTGTGGTTGCAATGACATACAAATGTTTCTTAAAACTTGCAATTAAAGTAGATAATCTTTCAGACTCATATCATCAGATTACATTTCTCAAATCCTTACTTTGCAGATCAGTAACCGATTGCAAAACTGTTCAATTAACAAACAGCTAATCTTGATTACAATCACCCTATACTGATACTATTTGCACTCACCCCTTATATACAGCCATATTTCAAAACTATTGCATTACTTTTAACAAAGCCTATACCACCATTAATGTCCAAAATCTTACATCTCTTTCACACGTATTTCTGTCCTTGTCACCACCCCCGTCCATAGAATGGAAGGGTCCATTGTTTGTATGACAATATGTGTCGAAGTTTTGGGTATAAAAGATGCATTTGTATGTATGTGACGTTATGATCTTACTGTCAATATAATAATAGCCAATGATATTGTTTGGTTTCAAATTTTATCGGTGTTCGAATCGACTTTGAGAATGGTTTGCAAAAAAATGTGGTTTTGCTTTGTGTTGCAAAGTTTTTGTGCAATGTATGTATTTAAACATATTCAAAACTTGTTTTTATTATTACTTATACCCATTCACGACATTTTATCAAGATTTTTCTTCAAAATAAGATATAATTACTCAATTCGTTGTAAATACTCTGATTTGAATTGAGCATTTCTTGCTCAATGTAGGTTGGCGATTGCAGACTTATAATTAGAAATTGTAAACCCAGGTTCCCTCACGACGTTTTCCATCACCGTTTGTCAGTGGAGTCTAAATAATTTTAGAAAGTACTTACATAATAACTCGGAAAAAGTCACATTGGTACTTGTCGTTGGTACATTTCGAACCCGCGTCCTAATGCATGAGAAGCGGGCATCTTCA